TTAGTTCTGAATATGATATTTTTCTTTGAAATTTCACAGTTGTCTATTTTAATAAAAAAAAAAAAATCTTCCCCAAAGATTTAAGAGGACATGCACAAGTGAGGGGAATAGATCAAAGTGATACCACTTAAATACCATACAGCAGAGCAAAAGAGTCTGAATAACTTTCGTGTTCATTGAAAAAAAACAGCCTGGAATATGAATATATTTGTGGAAAATATAAACAATTCTTCTTTCGCTCAAAATGCTGCAAAGATCTAAGCCAGACTCCAATTGCACATTAGAATTATGCTATATGATTGCATTGATACCTTTTCTGATTCTTGTATTGAGTGCTTCATAATATTGTTTTCAAACAGTTTAGAACAGGGATGCACACTATAAGACATCAGCTCTCTGAGACTTCCAGAAGTTGTAATGTATATATGCCAGAAGGGAAAATTAATAACTATCTAAATACATTTAACTAGATATTTATATTAATGTAATAAAATTAAGTTTAAGTTTAACCAATAGTATGTCCATTTTTCTACTTTGCATATAATTTGCATAAGAATTGGCTACAAGAATCCAAAGACTAAATCTTATTTCAAAAGCAAAGCGAGTGTAACTTCTGCAAATTTCTTTTACAGTACCATGGTTAAGCATCAAATCACAAACTTGTTTCCTACTTCTTCAGATTACTTGTGTGTGTGTGTATTTGTTTTCTTAAGTTTTCGCGTGCATTTATATGTATGGTATTTAGCTTTGTTTGGGTATTTTCCCACATCATTATAGTTGTGCTTTTAAAGTTGTAGTGACATTTTGGCAGAATCTCATCTGCCATCATCAGGCTTGTGTATTGGGTTCGTCTGTGAGTCAGACTTTCACAGCCATTTCTGTTTTAAATTTGGAGCTAGTCTACTGCTGTGCCAGAATGTTTTTTTCTTCATCCTGATTGGTTGGGAGTCTTGGTCTGTGTTTATTGGTCTTGGAGTTTGCTGTGTTCTGCTTGATTGGTGTTTCTAATACTTTCTTCTGTTTTGTAGCGTTTGTGGGTTTTTTGTCTTGATTAGCTGGCAACATTGTGTTTCATAATTATAATTGGGGGCTTTTAGTGTGGCTTGGCTTCAAGTGAATGGCCGGCTATCATTTATTAGGAAGCTAGGTTTCATCTGGGTGGCTGGTTGGGGTGTGTTTGAGCTGGAGGTATCAGGGGGCATTTGTTTGTGCCCAGGTGTTTGCTTGGCTTGAGATGTGGAGCATTTTTTGTTTGTGAGTACAGGCTTCCAGATAATTGTCAGTCTGCTGGAGTCATTTCTTCTATTCATGCTTTCAGGGTTTTTTTTCAATCTCTATGGCTTCTCTGATAATTCTGTAGCTGGGGTTTTCTATAGTAGTTAGGGTTTTGGAGCCACTGAAGTCGATGCTATGACCTGTGGCTTTCATGTGTTGGACTAGTGAGGAAGTGTATTCCAGCTTTTTTACTTCATTTTGTGTTTATCTAGGCGGGTACTTATTCTATTGGTCTGTCCGATGTATGTGGCAGGGCATGATGCACAGGGGACTTCATATATGCCTTGGTTTTCCAGGTCAATTTTATAGCAGCCATTTTTCTGTCTGTTTTGAGGACAGTCTTGATGTAATGCCTGTGTAGTATCTTACTGATTTTGTCTGTAGTACCTCTTATGTGGGGCAGGACAGCTGTTTCAAACTCCAAGACCAATAAACACAGACCAAGACTCCCAACCAATCAGGATGAAGAAAAAACCATTCTAACAAAGCATGAGGCCAGCACCAAATCTGAAACAGAAATGGTTGCAAAAGCCTGACACACAGATGAACCCAATACACAAGCCTGATGAGGGCAGATGAGATCCTGCCGAAACGTTGCTACAACTTTAAAAGTACAACTACAATGACGTGGGAAAATACCCGAACAAAGCTGAATACCATACATACATATATACATATATATACACACATACACACACACAAACACGCATGCTTTTGATTTTAGAAGCATTTCTGAAAAAAAAAATTCCAAAAGTGATATCAGGGCATGGACAAGCCAGTGCTATGTGGATAAGAAAAATACTCACCACATTGCAAAGGACCGGTCTGACTTACAAAAACAAACTATAAATACTTGTTGCATAGTTTTGTAAATTAAAGGATGAGATATTTTTTATTAAGAGTTAATTTCTAAAATGTTTCATATCATTCACAGTGAGTACAGTTTGCTTACAAACACAAAGTTTATGCAGTGCTGTTCAGTTTATTTTTTGTTTACTACATTGGTATGTTGCCTATTCTCCAAGGCTCTAAACAGCTAACAGATGTGCCATTCTACAATTCCTAGTTTTCTTCGTCTTAAGTCTTACTAACATACCTGGAGTGTACAAGATTGGGGCAAATTAGCTCAGTGACAGGTCATGTGCTTCACACATAAAAAGTCTCTACGCCAGGATATCTAGTTAGAGCTAGAAGACATCCTGGAGAATTGTAGCCATTTTTGATAGCAACTTACCCCAAATGAGTGGTAATGTTTCAATGATATCTTTGTATATTGTTGAATTAATGACAATTTACTCAAGTATTTCCATTTTCTGAGTTTTCATGACAAACACTGAATTATATGTAATTCATGGACTGAACCAGCACAATAAATTATGATAGATAATTTATAATTCAGTCTGTTGTATAAACAAGAAGTATAATATTTATCTCATCAAAGTTTCCATGCTTGGTTTCTATGCTCATGCTATAAGTGAAATAGCTAACATGTAAAGCCAACTATATGTGGGGCTGACAACCATGATTTACTGATGAAACCACAGTAATTTCTACAGTATCCTACTTGAAGCAAAATAGTAGTGTAACGTGTGAATCCCAGTATAAAACAAGACAAATTTTAATAATTTTATCAATGTGATACTTGAAGGAATAATGTCCTAGTAATCTAAGAAGGGTGCAGTGGCCTAGTGGTTAAGATGCTGGGCTTGTCAACCAAAAGGTTGGCACTTTGAGACCCAAGTACTGTTTTATGGGGAGAGCTCCCATTTTTGCTACAGGTCCCTGCCAAGTTAGCAATTCAAAAGCATGCAAGTAGATAACTAGGTATCAGTTTGGTGAGAAAATAACAGCATTCTGTGCTGGCGATATGACCATGGAAGCGTGACATAAGCACTGTTCCCTAGAAGTGGACAGGGCCAGACAGAGGATACTTTTAATAACATCTAATTCAAATTGGGTAGATACAGCCTCACTGCCTTTCTGCTCCAATGTCTTAATCCAATTCCTCTGTTTTAAGACTTTGAATTAGCTTCAAGAGAATCTGAATCCAATCCTCATAACAGAACCACTTTGAGGAGGAATTTTTTTCAGAAGAAAGATCCTAGTTCCGACAGTCAAACTTGGTATTTTGCCCAAATGTTTTTCCTAGTAAGAAAGATCAACATATTGAGAAAACATGAGAAATGTACAAGTATCAATATAACCACATGTGGTCTCTCCATTAAAATCCACGAAACAGCCAAAACAAATGTGAAGCAGTGCACAATCTCTATGAGACTTTTCTACTTGAAAAAAATACTTATCAATGGCTTATTACATATATATTGAACCACAACTTGATCAACAGAATATATTCTGCCATAAACTATGCTACTAAATAGAATCTAGATTCTAGTTCATAAATGTGCAAAGCTGCATCCTGTTTGGTATGACCTCAGATTAATCTGAAGCCAGCTGGTTATCCCACTTTGGTTTGTGCACACATTTGTTTGCTTAACCATGGCTTGTTAATTAACTGTTTCATTTTACATAACATGCCTATAAATAATTTGCAAGTTGCAATAGTAGACTTACGCAAGATCCTAAATAGCAATCAAACAAACTAAATTTTAACCTACTCTTGCAGCTAGTACACATCACTCAAATATCCTGAATGTTTATGTATGTACCACATTTAACACAGGACTTGGGGGAAAAGCTGTCTGCAAATTTTGTCCTCTAAAATATTCCACTATAGGCTGGCTGGCTGTGGAAAATGAACCTTCCAGTCAAGCCTTGGCATTCAAAAGTTTACAGTTGGATTCCACAGTGAAATCATGCGCATAACACCCATTCCCAAAGATGTGATTACCATATTTATTTATGCTTTTATTCTGCTCTCTAAAAGGTACAGAAGGAGATGGCTGACAGCAGAAAGGCATAACAATGAAAATGACGCGGGCACTTCTTGCCCACCTTGCGGGAGGCTACGAATGATGGGAGGTGGTCACAAAGGGAAAGAGGGGGCCGAAGGGGAAGCCTGACTCGGCACAGAAACAGTAGCAGACAGCCATCGTAGGGGGAGGTAAAAAGCGAGCGTACCGACAAAACAAAATCTCGACGCCGGCGGCAGCGGAAGCATGCTGCGCCAGCCTGCTAGTGTCAACTATAGGCGCCGGCCAGAGTAGCTCTGCACAGCGCAGAAACATAACCTGCCAGCCCGGCGCCGCCTTCTTGACATGATAGCAATATTTCAGTATTTGTGGGCTGCCATATAGAAGAGTCAAATTATTCTCCAAAGCACCAGGGGGTAGGACAAGAAACAAGGGTTGCAAACTGATCAAAGAGAGAAGCAACCTGGAATTAAGGAGAAACTTCCTAACAGTAAGGAAAATTAACCAGTGGAATAGCTTGCCTCCAGAAATCGTGAGCGCTCCATCACTGGAAGGTGTTTTTTTTTTTTAAAGGAAAGACTGGACAGTCGCTTGTCTGAGATGGTATAGATTCTCCTGCTTGAGCAAGGGATGGACTAGAAGACCTCCAAGTCCCTGCTGCGATTCCCCCCCAATCGCAGGAAACCGGCTCAGGGGAGGAGGCTGGTTGTCCCCAAACTCGCTCGCTCCCCGGGCGGGCAGACCGCACGTAAACCCCTGGGCAAGCTTGGGCAAGTGCCAGGCTGGGTGGCTTGAAGTACGGAAGGGCAGCAGTGGCTTGCTATCCTTTGCATCACAGGGCAAGGTGATGAAAGGCTGCTCGCCTGAGAGCGTCCCTTAATAACCGCCTTCCCTCGAGTCGTCTCCCCAGAAATAGCTATTCGTTCAACGCGCTCCTGCTCCTCCGAGGAGCTGGATCTTGGACGGCGGGTAGCGATGGCTCTTCAATGAATGCCATCGCTTGCCGGCTCTTCCGACAGGCTCCCCGTGGGCGCTGCTCCGCCCCTGCAGGTATATCCGCCGAACAGCCCGTTGAGGTAGGTTAGAGGTGCGAGAGGGGGCGGCGATGCCAGGCCCCTCAAGCAACGACCCTTGAAGCGGGGCTGCTGAATGAGGCGCCCTGAGCGGCTGGATCCGTGCACGCCAAACTCAAGCCCGGCAACCGCGTTAGGGTTGCGCAGCTTGTCTTGCCAAGTGAAAGCGGCCGAAACGGACTTCGGAACCGTGTAACGTGGCGGAGCTTCGTTTTTCCCTGCCCTGGCCGCGTATTAGCAGTGCACTTTTTCGTGGGACGCAGCGGAGGAAATCCCAAATAGCAGATGGCAACCCACAGAAGCAACCTCTTCGAAAAGAGATGAGGGGATGACTCCCTTGTCAAGGCGGTGGGGGAGTCGTTTTGCCCTGAAATGTTGTCCAGCATCTTTGTGTAAGTTATTCAAATTAATAGGCAAAGGAATAAATGAGAACATGATCAATATGTTTTAAAGAACAATTGTCAGCATAGCAAAATTGATCTTATTTCCAACAAATAATGGGTAATAAAAAAGAAATGTTTGCATCGGCATTTTGTTTGAAATTTAATTTGAAAGCACTTTACCACCTTTTCCCCTTTTTGATGAGCACACTTTTATGCTTGGATGATGGCTCCTATTTATTTATGTACCACTATTTATGTTACCTTTCTCAATACTGTTCATTGTGATATGATTTATATCATATACTCATAACCACCTGGGAAGTGGGTGGGCCGGAAAAGTAATAGCAATCAGCCAAGAACTAGTAGAGGCAGTGGGGTGTAGTGGCTAATGAGTTGGTTTGGCACAAGAGTGATTTGGCTTCTGGTCTAGTCTTAGCCATAGACCAGGGGTCGCCGACCTTTTTGACCGCAGGGACCACCAAACTCATAATTTTAAATCCCGTGGACCAGAGACCCTGGGAAAATCCCCCCAAAAAATCTGCAGGAAAAGAGAGAGACTTTTGGCTTCATGCAAGAAAGGCAGCAGAAGTCTTTCTTTCTCTCCCCCAAACTCCTCCAGAAATGAGACTGTGTGAGATTTATTGTGCTGGCACAGACTCTTGGAGCAGGATGCCTTGGGGGAGAGAAAGATAGACTTTTGCTGCTTTCCTTGAATGCAGACAAAAGCAGAAGAGAGAAGCAGAAAGAAGCAGCCCAGTGGCCAGGCAAGGCACACGGGGCAAGTTCCCCCCTTCCCCTTTCCCCTCCCCTCACTACCTCGTGTTGTTCGCAATGCAAGTGATGCAAGCCTTATGTTCCGATGGGCACAACCTTGTGTTCCCACTGGATTAATTACTTTAGGGGTACTTTGGGAGTGACATTTCTCTGCGGACAACCAGTAGTCCCCAGACCACTGGTTGGTGGCCACTGCTATAGGAGGTCTGTGCTCCAGGGATTTGAGTTCTATCACTGTGTGATGGAGTGAGCTCCCATCATTTGCCTCCTGCCAATTCTAGCAGTTCAAAAGCATGTAAATGCAAATAGATGAAGGAACCACTGTAGTAGGAAGGTAACAAGTTTTCTGTGTTTTGCCATATGCTTTGTTCTGCAGCAGGATTTAATGCTGGCCACATGACCATGGAAATATCTTTGGACAGAACTGGCTTAAAGAAATGGAGGTAAGCATCCCCCTAAAGTTGGCTATGACTAATAGAGTAAAACCCACAGGGGCTTTTTTATCTTTACCATTGATACAAAGAGTAAAAACAATAATCTCAGGCCCATTGGCAAAACCAGCTCTTCAGGGCCTTGCGAAAGTGTCACACTGAGGACCAGTCTAATCTCTGCAGGGATGTTTCCAAAAGGAAGGCGCCACCATAGAAAAAACCCTTCTCCTGGGTCCCACTAGATATATCTCCTTAGGAGACATTCCGTCTCCCTGCTATAGTGAGTCAGGTAAATGTAACTCAGAAGAGTTGGTCTCTTCTGAATTAATCTACTCCCAAGCCATGTGGGGCTTTAAAGGTGACAATCAGACACAAATGAATGGGGGAAAAATATTGGGGGACACATTTACAATAACTCATGGGTCACAGAATCACTATGATTTGCTGGAGGTATTGCTGTTTGTATACATAGAGAAAACGGAGAAGCTGATAGATTTCCTGCTTATCCTCAGAAAAGGCTGTGCTACTTTTTTTTCTGTCTCTTCAGAAGTGTTATGAAAGTTGCCCCAGAGAGGTCTAGGTTGCTAGAAGCACTGCAGGTGATTTTTAATCAATTATGTGAGAAGAAAACACACTACAAAGCAAATATGGAGTTCCAAATTATTTTTGGGTTGCGTGCCCATAACCTTAAGTTAAGCATGGAATTTTTCCAAGGGGAGGATGTGGTGGTTATGTGTTTCCTGTCTAGTTATTGTTTTTTAAAAAACATCCTTTTTATTTTTACAGATGATTTCCTTCTTACATTCATTTTACTATAACACATTAGGTTGATTTTGGAGATACACATTTGCCTAAGTAATATGCAATTTTGTCCAACACTGCAAAAACAAACTTTATGCATTCCAAAGCCACAAACTGCTTAGTATAAGGCATTGTGGCATAATACCTTACTGTAACCATAATAAACATCATTATGACTAGAATGGTATACACAATCCAGTTTCCTTAACTTTTCAAACCAGAGAGATGTGGATGCTATATTATGTTGTACTCTCATATATAAATTTGACATAACTGCCAACCTTTCCCTTGGATGGTTTCACCCCCCCACCCCCCATAGGTAGCCCTGGACTTATAATCACAATTTGGACTAGAATTTCTATTGCCAGACAAGGTTGTTGTCTTGATATTACACTTTATATTATGATCCTTTTGCCATGGTTGCTAAGTGAAACACATGGTTATTAAGCAAATTCAGCTTCCCCAATTAATTTTGTTTTAGAAGCCAGCTGGGAAGGTTGCAAATGATAATCATATAACCTTGAGATGCTGCAAATGTCAGAAATAGATGCTGATTTCCAAGTGCCCAAATTTTGACCACATGACAGTAAGGATGCTGTGATGGTTGTGTGTTAGGACTGGTTGTAAGTCGATTTTTTTCAGGGCTATTGTAATCTCAAACAGACGCTAAATGAATGATTGTAAATCAAGGACTACCTTTAGTATATATACTTCCTTTGCAAGGTTTTTACTTCTATTGTCCTTATGCCTCGTGAGTTCCAATCAGGGCAAAGAATTAATTATGATGACAACCCAGCAAACTGTTGCAGTCAGCTGACAGCAGTTCCCTGATTATTATTGCAAACATCTTATAGGGGTAGCTGGATATAATTTGAAGTTTTTCAGTTTAAGAAAAAGCAACAGCACAGAGAAAGTTGAAGGCACTTGTGTTAGATGGAAGAAAGGTTGTTTCTTCTCCAACTCTTTTGGTTTTAAATCCTGCAGAACCCATCTACCCCCATTCATAAGTTCACCCCCATATACCATTGTTTCTTATATGGACAATATACTGAATCTACTCACAACCTCCTAACCCGTAACTCATGCCTAGTGAAATTTCATTTAGGTGGCTATTTTCTACTCTGGCAGATACTTTTAGTCACAAAATATAGATCGTCCTCAAGATATGACCCTGCCCATTAGGGTTTCATGTTACGATGGCCGTTAAACAAAACAGCCTCATTTATTGACTCCAAGGCTCTTTCTAATACAGCTATTAAATTGAGCATAGATTGCTTCAGAGATAGGAGGCCTTTGGAGGCCTATCACAGGCCCAGGTCTACCAGGCCTACCACCCAAAGTATCTCTTAGTTCCCATGTTCTGCTTCCCATCCCTTGATTCACCAGAGATCTTTTCCCACTCTACCAGGTCCCCACAGGACAGGTCCGTTCCCATTCCATCCTTCTTCTCATGTTCTGAAGAGCTTCAAGGCCTTCTAAGGCACTGGAAAGATTGCTTCAGAGGCTGTGCAGATCACATTTGCCAAGCGGAATGCATGATTTTGTCCCTCAGCTACACAGTGTGATTCTGGAACTGGTTGCCATTTTACCCCACTGCACAAAATGGAGGCCAGATCTGGGTTGTTGCTACGCAGCCCAGAGATATACTGCTCCTTTTTGCTGCTTTAACCAAGTCTGCAGAGTGCTGCAGAAGCTTGCTGTATCTTTCAGAAGCTTCTGTAGTGCTGTGCAGACCTCGTTAAAGCACAAAAATGAATCAATTTGTCCCACGGCCACAATTTTCACAAGCAGGACAAAATGGTGGCTATTTCTGAGCCACCACCCCATGGCCAAGGATGCATGGCCTGCCTTTCTTCCCCAATATGAGATCCAGAGATCTATAAAAGGCATAGGTGATGGGCATGTGGCAAAGGGCAGGGCAGGGGAATGGGGGCGCTGCAGCATCCCTGTGAGGGTTGTGAAGGTGAACAATTGCAGGGAAACTGCAGGAAGGATAGGGCGGGCTACAGCAACTCTACAGTTAGTCAAAAGGGCAAAAACTGCAGAAAGCACTGCAGTTGCTATAACTTTGAAATAGAGTCATATGTAACTTTTGGGCCTGGTTTGTCATAACTTTGAACTGCCTTTAAATATCAAGTCATACCTCAAAACATTACCTGTGGTGATAATTGGAAGAGAAAACTTTAAAATGTTAATTCTGGGGAAAATTGCAGGAAAAAGTAGGCATAAGCAAGTGTCCTGCCTTGCCTTGATTCTATAAATTTATTTAATAATTCATAATATTCATGGAACATCAGCAAATTAAACATAACTTACTGTATAATTACTATGTTATCTCTCAAATAATTCTGTGACTTCAAAGAGGAATTTTTAAAGAGTCCTGAGTTTTCAAAAACTTTATTTTTGAATTATAATTTTTGGATAACCAAGCAGTTTTATAAAGAGAAAGCACAGAAATCGATCTGGCACTTTTGGATAGTTTATAACAACTCTGCTTGACATTTTTAGAACACATTCAATCCACTTGCTTGGTCCAAAATCCATGTTACTTGAAATTATATACATCATATATACAATCAGTGAAACTATTTTGGCTACTTTGGGGTTTTCAAAAATGTCCTATAGTCTACCCTTGCTAAACAGAATCCACAGTACACACCAAAATTAGCGAATACACTGTTTTGAAATAAAGAGTCATTCAGCAGAGACATTTGATAGCATGCAAATTAAAGTACAGATACGGTTTCAGAATTTTTTTCTGTTAAAAAATCTGATTATTCAAGTCGCTAGCAAAAGAAGAGACTGTTCATTGTTCCTGTAAAAAAGGCACTTAGAATGGGGACTGGAGGAATCAAAGCTGACTTTAAAAAATCAGTTTGGTTTCACAAAAGGCTCTTCAGATACCAAGAAAAGCTTGTCAAGTTTCATGTCAAAAACTCGGTGGCTAGGCAGACTAAAGATAGACAATATTTTGGAACTACTTTGTAAATAAGCATGTTAAAGCAAAAACAAGATTATTAAAAAGCAGCAGTGCATAGCCTTCCTTTGAAATAATGCATATCTGTAGATGTCAAGTGTTGAACTCTACTTAAAGATACCCTTTCAGTAGCATCATTATGATACATTTGAATTAAGAAATAATAATAATAAAGTTTCACATAGATCCATTTTCAGGAAAATCTGAGGTTATAATCTGCCAAACCACATGTAAATATCCAAATATCCTTGATGGCCAGTATCAAATAAATGGAATTCAAAGTCATAGTTTCATACAGACTTTGCAAATAATTAGGTGAGTTTGCACAAAAATTATCTTGAGTGAATCTTTTCAGTTGTAACCCACCATAAAGATTACTTCCTCTTTTTTTCTGTCAGTATAAACAAACAAAAATATTTGGCAATTATATATTCTCCTGGGGGAAAAGATCAGATCTATCAGAGGTTACTTCAAGTTGAACGCCATGAGTGGTCTTTCCTCTCGCTTTTGCCAAGGACTCTTTTTGTCTTCCCCTTGATCATCATCGTCGTCATCATCATCATCATCATCATTATCATCATCGTCGTCAGCTTCACTGTGTTCAGTCATTTTATGTTCTGGACTTGTTAAAGGCTCTGGTGAACTTTCTACTGTTCTTTTTATTGTTTCTTCCTGCAGGCTGGGCAATTGGCCACCTGTTCTTCTGCTTCCTCCCTCCAACACACATCTTGGAATATTATCTTCAGGACTACAAACTGCAGTTCCACATTCACTGCCACTTTGGTCCACTTCATCCAAATAAACAAGCTGTGTATAAGTGCTACTTTCTGGAATTTTCTGCTCTTTTTGTGGATGAATCTGCGCTTGCTGGTGGGTTTGTTGTAAATGATCTGCCCTTCCCTTTCGGGCAGATTTTGGCTCATTCATGTCAACCCCAGAATCCAGGCTGACATCATTGCTTCCATTCCTTCCAGCTCTTTGAAGATCAATGTAGGAATGTCTCACATGAGCATTTGAACGCCCATCCAAAGAAACAAACCATGCCCGAGGATGAGGTAAAGGCTTTCCTCCACCTAGCTCCATTAGAGCTTTCTCAGTAAGAAGCTGCACTTCACTATTCATTTGTGCCAGGGAAGCATCATTAAGGGATGCTGGAATGGATACTGATTCAGACATTGGAACGCTCTGTGGTTTCCAGTCACCTGCACCAACTTCTTGTAAATGTTGCTGGGATACTGCTTGAGCAGCTAGCTGTTGTGGCTGTATCTGTTGCTGAGAATGAGGGTAAAGCTGTGAATGAGGGCTGGATAGTTCAACCTGGAGCCTTTCTATATCTACCGGTTGATCAGTAGAGAGAGGCTGGCTAATATAAGGATGTTCTCCTGGAAGTTTCATATAATGACCAGGAATAACTAATGTGGGCAATACTTTTCTGTAAACACTATCATTAACCTGATCAAGAGAATTACAGCAGACCAGATGACCTGGTCGAGGAAAAGAAGTGGGTCTTTCAAGATGGTCAACGGAGCGAGACATCATACATTCAGAGGACCTGCAATCTAGAAGTTCCGTTTCAGGGGTTGAAGGGATAGGGTATACTTGTTCCTGAAGATTATATTTACTCCCTGTAGTAATATGATTCATGGATGTTTGCTCCTGCTTCTCAAATAAAGGCCGGCTTAACAACATTGCATTGTAACTGTGTCTATGGTCCCCCTTATCAGGGGAACCATATCCTTCTGTCATTTCCAGAGACTTTCTTGGATTTATAGAAAAAGAATCCAATGATTGAAGATAGTCTTTTTTCAAACTATCATTAGAAGCCATATTTTCTAGAGACATGCGGCTATGGTCATTTTCCTTATGGGAAAGTGATTCCTCTCTGGAGCTAAATTCCTGTGAAGTGCTATAAGTATGTTGCAGCATAGGGGTATGCATATCTACTTCTCCCGAACATCCTTTGTCCAAGTGAACAGCCACTATCAGTTCCTTGTGGCCAGAGGATTCTGGGTGCCTGTTGCCAGTAATGGAGAGCCCACCGGGAAATTCTGATTCACGTCGGGAAAATACTAAATTGAGATGGGACATGGAAGTTGATTGATCCTTCTTAGCACCACTGAGTGTTGAGGATAAGTGTAGTTTCTTATGATGTTGACGGGGCTTCAAACACTTTCTCCTAATGTTAAAAAAAGGAATAGAAAAAAAAATCATTTTAAAGGGACTTGTAGCAAAAGAATGGTCTAGTGAATTAGGTATTCAAACACCTATGCTCTCTTCCAATTGTCATAAACCTGGCTGCCCAAGATGGGTGGATAGAAGTTATGGGAATTGTGGTCCACTGTAAGTGGAAAGTGCTGAGGTAAAGAAAGTTATTGCAAGAGGCTTAAGCAAATTAATATCTCCTGATTTTATCTTGCAGTCCAAACTGAATGTTCTGCAGCTTGATCCTCAATGGAAATTCTTTTTTTTTTTTACACCCGTTCTGTTTATTTGCTTTTCCAATACTGTTTTTCAAGCATACCAACATCTCCTTATTTTTGGGAGGTGTTTACCTTCAAAAACCTTGGTGTATTACATTAGATATTTCAATTATAGACAGAAATGTTGAAATTCATTATGAAAAGAAAAAAGAAATACTATAATAAAAAACAATACAGTAGAAACAGATATAATAGAAGAAAGACAACCTTATAATTTGTTCTATTAAAATTACTTTAAGCAGGTAATGTATTGAATAGGGCTTCTTTAAGAATAAGCTACTTTTATTCAAGGAAATATTTAACAAAGAAAGAAATAATGTTACTATTCTTGGTTTAGTTCTTCTTATAGATTACATGCATTGCGTTGGAATGAGAGAAATTTTATTTTCCTCAGTTTTAAAAATGCCAGTTTCATAAACTATTATTGGTAGCTCCAAGTTTACTCTAGATTATTCTATAATGTGGCTTGTTCCACAAGCAAATAGAAAATTAACACGAGCTACAACCCCGCTCCTATTTTTGTTGTTTTCTGTTTACAGAGGAATCTTAATGTAAAGATTTATCTAAGCTTAAATGCATTTGTAATATTAATCCATTTCTCAAAGGGTACTTAGAGACCACATCAATTCTGAAAGTACCAAAACGATAAGATAAACTTAGGCCTATGTAAAGAATTTTCCTCAATTTGGTGCCATGGCAATGTGTTAAACCAGTAATTCAACATATCTTGATGGCACAAGTTTGTGGGCAGCTAATATACAATTTCCAAGTAGCACTAGCAGTAGTATCTAAAGATACTGGTTCTATTATGGAAATTATGAATCCATGGGAGGCTTTCTAAAATGGTGTACTTACACAAAAATGAAAGTGTTCCTCGCTGGGCCACTCTACAAATATAATTAAATATAAAAATGAGACATTTTACCTGCAATAGTATAAAAGGAGGCACAGCAGAACAAGTAGTATAAGAGCTATTCCTCCAAGAATTGCCAAAAGGAACACTGTGTGGTAAGTAGTGAAGTCCTTCGCTACAATGAGACCTACAAGATGGGGAAAAAGTTAAAATTCTGAGGACAGGCAAGTCAAAGCTTTCTAACCTATAGTATATTTAGTCTCAGGCTAGTTCTCACTTTGACAACAACCCCCTGCAGCAGAGTATAATCTGAGTTGCCCTGATCCACTTCTAGGAGTGTTCTCTGATGGTATCACGTAGCAGCCCTGATTACACAGGTCTCCAGAGTTGAGGGATGCCACCGATTTGAATTACTCAGAAATCCCAGAACAGGCCTGTGTTAAGAATACTGTGAACAAATAAAGTGCAGTGATACATGTTCTTTGGTTAGTGGAACCAACCAAAACAATGGGGGCAGTGCTATTATCTGGATTGCAGCCTGGAGCAACAGCATCTATTGGGAGATGAAGTGCCTACAAAATGAATGATGCAATGGGGCAACAGTCAGCCAATGGGCTTGGTAACCCCCCTTTGTGGACTGTTTATCTGGAATCTCACTTAGCACGGCTGGTAAATTCCCTCAGGCTCTAACTGTCAGAAACTGCAAAGTTTTCAGGAAATTTAATTGACAGTTTTTTCTATATAAACAGCCACATCAGGTCGTGAAATGGGAACCACTTTTCCAGCCTGTGCAATTGTGCATGGGCTGGGAAAATAGCAGTGTCCTCTGTGTGTGCAAGCAAGAGATTCTATCTAATTAGCACATCAAGGAAATGATAGGTTCTTTTGTTTGAGTCAAGTTCTAGCTAGGATTTATTTATTTCTTACTTGAGTAGAGTCATTAAAACTAATCTGGGTTCATCATTGGAGGTCTGACCTGGGAAAAAATCCATTTCCCACTACAAATATTATTCTATTCCTAGCTTATTCATTCTATGTGTAAATCAAGACTACAGCTGATCATATATCAGAGCTCATAACTATTCTGTGTTGTACTTATGTGGCAATTCTTGCAGTTAAGGAGGAAATCATTCCATTTATGGCAGAAAGGGTATAAATCCTGCCTGTGTTATGATTTTCTGAAATCACTACATGCTACATATTGTAACAATGATCTAATCTGAGGATTACCCTACAACTGTTTGGAAATTGTTCCGGTTTACAGACATCCAAAATGCAACCATTAGTGACCTAAACGGCTGCAGTGTATTTAGCCTCTTTAAGGCTAAAAAAAATATCTATTGAAGTACTTGGTAAACCTTAACAAATTTTAAAGTCTGCTTTCAGAATTCCTAGATATGTCAATAAAATGTTATTCTGAAATGCATACATTATTTAAACATAGTAGTGCATAATATAAAACTTACTGTGAACTAGTATCAAGTTTTAAAATGGATCCTTCCATTTTCACCACCCTTCAGTGTCTTGAAAAGCTCTAGCAAAAAGTATTTTCTGGCATAGCTGGCTATGTCTTGCAGGGTTGTAAAAGGAGAAAGAAACTGCCAATAATAGCGCTCTTACAAACATGGCTTAGGATTCCCTTTTTCCAATTTAAGCAATTCCCTTATATCCAGTATGATACTAATAGTATAAAGCAGGGGTCGCCAACCTTTTGGACCTCAGGGACCACCAAACTCATCATTTTAAATCCTGGGGAATCACTAATATGAATTTTGACTGAGCGTAGCTTGCTGACTTTGGTGGGAGAGAGAGAGAGAGAGATCTGATCTAACCTCTCCCAATTTCATACACACACACACACACACACACACACACAGAGGCAGGGGTGGGATTCAAATGTCTTAACGACTGGTACTTAGGTGTGGCCTAATTTGTGGGTGTGGTCATGTGACTGACTGGGCATGGCTTGTTTGTAAATATTATAAATATTTATGTAAATATTGATTTTTTTATTAAAAAAGAGCAACTTTTACCCAAATCAGGCAAAGCAGGGAGGCAAATTGAGTTGCTCACAGAATCACAGATTCATGTAGAAATCTGTTTTTCTGCCATCGGCTATCTGAGTCTGTCACATAAAATTTGCTAGCAAGCAAACACACAAAATTAACTCACCACGCACCATGTATGTAAATATTGAATTTTTTATTTAAAAAAGAGCAATTTTTACCCCAAATCAGGCAAAGCAGGTAGGCGGATTGAGCTGCTCACAGAATCACAGATTCACTTAGAGATCTGTGTTTCTGCCATCAGTTATCTGAGTCTGCAACTAAATAATAGAACCTTCAGTCCTAGGGGAGGTTCGGCTCTGCTTAAAAGCAGAGCCGAAGATC